TAACTAGCTTGAATTTGTAAAATCTGGAGTCTAGTTAAGGAGTTGAAATTGAACATCGACACATTATTTTAAAGCAACTGTTGTAGCTTGTTTGTTTTTATGTACATCTCCTCTTTCCTCTTTCTGTAGCCACCTACTAACATCAAAAGATTTTGTGTGTGTACGTGCGTGTTATTTTTCTAAATATCTCTGGATGTATGTCAGTGCTTGCATGTGCCTTTTCTTTATCTTTCTATTGCCACTTAACCTCAATGGAGCCAATATTTGTTGCACCAATTGCAGCAATTGCCATAAACCCTTGTTGCCATAGACCTTCAAGCACAACCTGATCAACATGAAAGATAACAGAACAATGATTACAACCTAAATATATTAAGAGGAAAAATGTGTAGTCAATTAAAGTCTATGCTCATGTTAAAACTGTAGATATAACATTAATGGCCAAAGAAAGTGACAGAGTATCCGCAATTAGAATCTTAAAACTTAACTAACAGCAATCTGTTAAAATATAATGTTGCATCTGCAATTAGAATCTTTGATCGAACTTAACCTCAAAGATGCCCAAAGAAACATAAGAATAAATATAGTATAAGTGGTTAATACACTTTCTCTTCACCTTAACAAAGGAGGAGCTGTGATTTTCATTTTCTTTCCCTTCTTGCATTAGCAAATTATCACAGTCTTACGAGGCTTTTCACTTTCAATATCTCTATTTTGTGATGAATTGCATGTCTATAAATTCAGTAAATGTGGAGCCATGAGCAGACAAAAAGAATTTATTGATGGTATCACATTTCTTAAAGTGTTAAGATATTGCAGATTCAAACTTAAAATTATTTATTCATATGCAAAGATGCCTCCGACCTTTCCACCACTTCATGTCCAGTTAAACTGGCGAGAAAAGGAAGAAATACTCATGAAAAAAGTTGATGAACTCAAAATTACCCTTTCATTTTCAATGTACAGATTTCTGATTGTTCTAGTAGCACGCTCGTTCATGGGAAATAAGCGACCTGAAACAATAGTAGGTAACTTTAAATAAATAATTTCAATTTGCAAAGACGTCATATGGTGAATACCAATATGCTACAGACATTGCAAAACCACAGCTCTACTATTTTATTTTACTTGGCCAAGCACTTCCTATTCTGGCTGGTTGGCAGATTGTGTCATGTCAATTTAATTAGCACCAACAAGCCCAGAAGCAGTTACAACATGTGCACAGACAGCTTATAGCCCATTTTTCACAATATCATTCCTATCCAGCTCATGAAACCCATCAGTTTTCTGCTTCTCTGTCTCCTTATCATATGCAATTTAATGCTCTAAAAAATGCTATAAAAGTTTATTTCAATGGATATTAATGAAAGTCCCAGGTAACAGAATGGTGCTAGGAACTATCGAATTAACCAGTTGCCCTTTCTTGTAGAATAAATTGAAAACAATCAACCTACTTTAGAAAAAACATAATTAACTAGGCATCACAACCAAGATCCCTTCAGCACTGAGTAAGGAAGACACTGAAGGGTAAAAGTATAAATAGGTCTGAGGGAAGAGGCAATTTTGTACTTCAGTTACTGCATGAGTTTCTGTTTTCAAATTTCCTGTTTAGTGTTCTTTTCTTTTCTCCTCTTTCTATGGGAGGATAGCCTATCCTCCCTTAGTTTGTAATCATTATCTCTTTCTAGAAATATTTCTTCTTTTGTGAAAAAATATAAGATCAAGAAATTTTTTATTCATTTTTAATTTTTGAAGTTTCCTTGATCCTAATTAGTGTCTGCACAGAGTTATTAATGGAAGAGACACTAAATTGAGAATTATTTACTAGGGTTTTATTCCAATTCTATGTCATTGTTCTTCCTTGTTTTATCTACCTGGCACTGTTATTTCCCTCTTTCTTTTGCTCATATCCCTGATGCATTTGTTCTTCAATTTTATCCCTTGTTTCATATGTCTTTCTCCATTTTCATCTATTTATTTGCCATTCTTTAAACTGTCCTATATCCACTACTACGTGATCCTACACCAGATAGAAAACATTCCAGTTAACGGAAGGGTGGCATTGTCTAGGCAAGATGACAATCATCAACAGGAATAATAAAAACAAATCAACTTATTCAAATAGATAGAAGACTATTAACAATAGAAAGTGCTACCTGAAAAATGCCGACGAACAAAGATGTTCCAATCACTTGGTGAGTGTACGCGATGATAGTCGCCAGGTTTCAAATAAATTACACAGTAATAAAGCCCGTTCATTGGACTGCAATAAAAATTTTTAATACATAATCTATCCACATGATATGTCACTTAAGCAATTAAATGGCAAGGGTTTTGCTACAAGTATATTATCTAGAGTTGTCCAACATATGGCATTTTCAATACTTCGTAAAACTACATATGCATATATTACGGAAGTAATTTTGATGCAGAAAAAGAAGACTCTAAAGTGGATTAGTTTCAGTAATAAGATATATTCATGTAACTGTAATATTTATACATAAATAAAAGATATTTATGCATTATCATCATCAGGTCAGTTGTCACTAAAATTTTGTAATGGAGGTTCAATTCGGGGCCCTCCTTGGTGAGGAACTCAGGAGGATGCCTTATTCTTCGCCATTATACATTTTAACATCTCAATCTTAATAATAATTTTTCCATATAACAAAATGGATATTGGAGACCTGATGATAATTCGACAGATTTGTAAAGGTCTTGTATGTGGGTTGCATCCTTTTGGAGCCTATATATTTGATAAAAGTTTTACTTTCAAAAACAATTTGCTCCTTCAGAATCCATGATATTGGAAGTATCCTTGCTCTATCAAAACAATCTCAAGTTTTCCAAGTTTCAAATGTTAGAAAGACAAGTTCTAGTTCTCATATCCTTATTACTTTTAACATTTCAAAACTCGTTGCTGAGTTTTCAACAAGCAGGGTAGAATGATGCAGAACAAGAAGGCTCTAAGTGAATATATTCCAATAATTATGTTTATGTAATTGTATGGTTATGTATTTTTAAGATATTTACTTATTTATGAACTATTAACTATAGGCTTACATTAGTATGAGTTCATTATTTCCTATTTAGTCAGTACACTACTTATTTTTTCATATTATAGGTTATTCAATTAATAAACTTATTTCCTATTTAGAAGATTTTCCAAATTAACTTAAAATTTTGCTATACTAAATCGTAATCTAGTACCTATAGGTGAGTACCACGACTTACTTGTTTTGTAGACTATTTGTATGATTATTATATTAACATTGAGTTACTTGAGATATGAAATCTCCAATTTTGGTTCCTAATAAATTTTCTCTAGGTACTGTACTCAAGCTCTTTCTGTCCTCTATCATAATTATATGAGGTTTAAGATATAGCAAAATATCTTCAATCATAAAACATGATTACCAAGTGGATATAGTCTCCCTGATTTTTGGAGAAGCCAACGAGACTCGCCACCATGACTTCTTACTTTTTGCTTCAAGAATATTTTCTTGTTCACCACCCTCTTCATGGGTCTCCCCGTTAGCTATAATGGGAAGCAAAGAGCTAGCACCAAGAAGAGAATATACAGAATAGGAAAACCCTTTAACTTGCTCAATCATAGCTCCTGGTCCTCTCAACTCTCCAAACCTTAGGATAGTGCCATCCACAGGACTAACCTATTGATCCACACGAATTGAACAACTTTAGCAAGGAATACGAGAAATATGAATGAGAAAAATAAGATGTTCAAGATGTTTGTTACCAGTTACCAGACAATGAGGATCATGGTCAATTGGTCTACAGCCCTCTTTCAAGGCACGGATGAAGAAATCCCGCAAAGAAGCATACTTTTCTAGAGGCAAAGCTGCTTCCTCAAGGTCTGAAATGAAGATTCCCAAATAATTTAATCATTTAAGTCTTCTATAGTTTCTATCAAAGATAGGATATAGATAACAAAAGATATTATTAAGCAATCATACTTGAGTGGAAAGCTCGAGCCCAAGCCATATAAACATATGGACGCATCCAGACAGGGATTTCCTGAAAACAAGCTCCTTTAGCAAGCAAATCATATCTATTTAACAGAGAACAATGAACACAAGAAAGTACACAAACATGTAACAAAACACATGGAAAAAGTGCGAAAAGGCAGGAA